TCGGGACCCACAGCACCCAAAGCAGCGGCCCCAGAGCAGGGCTGCCGAGGCCAGGGCCTCACCCAGGGAGTTGCAGCCGGGCGTGGGACACTTCATGTTGAAGTTGTAGCTCTCGTGGAAGCGGCGGCGCTTGGGCCGGTGCGAGAGGTCGCTGCCCGAGTCCTTCATGGACATGTCCTTGGCCAGGCTCTCGTCGTGGGACACGTTGGGGCTGGAGATGTCGATGTCGGACTCCGAGGAGGGCGCGTTGCCCGTGGGCGTGCGGGGCGGGGACTCGTCGTGCTCTGCCGCGTTCTTGGTGTCTGGGCAGGGGCACAGGGGACGGAGCTCAGGGGAGAGACCCCAAAATCGCTCCCAAAAACGCCTCAGGGGCTGCACGGAGCCTCTCCCACCCTGGGAGCAGCATTCCCTGCCCCTGTGGGCACCAATGCAGCATTCCCTGCCCCTGTGGGTGCCAACAGAGCATTCCCTACCCCTGTGGGTGCCAACAGAGCATTCCCTGCCCCTGTGTGCCCCAGTGCAGCATTCCCTGCCCCTGTGTGCCTCAGTGCAGCATTCCCTGCCCCTGTGGGCGCCAATGCAGCATTCCCTGCCCCTGTGGGCGCCAATTCAGCATTCCCTGCCCCTGTGGGCCCCAGTGCAGCATTCCCTGCCCCTGTGGGTGCCAAGAGAGCATTCCCTGCCCATCCAGGTGCCAATGCAGCATTCCCTGCCCATCCAGGTGCCAATGCAGCATTCCCTGCCCCTGTGTGCCCCAGTGCAGCATTCCCTGCCCCACTGGGCACTAACAGAGCATGCCCTGCCCCTGTGGGCGCCAATGCAGCATTCCCTGCCCCTGTGGGCGCCAATGCAGCATTCCCTGCCCCTGTGGGTACCTCTGTCGGAGAAGTCCACGGCCTGCTCGGTCTCGGAGCCCGAGGAGCGGGTCTGGCGCAGCGGGTATTTCTTGGGGGTGACGGGAGCTGGCTGCTGCTGGCTGCGCGTCACCCTCCGTGTGGAGTACACCGGCTCGTCCGGCCCGAACGGCGCCGCGCTCCGCACCGGGCTGGAGTCTGCACACACGGGGGAAACACAGAGTTACACAGGGGGACACTGCAGGGACACCACTGTCACACCATGGGGACACTGCGGGGACACCACTGTCACACCACGGGGACACTGTGGGGACACCACAGTCACACCACAGGAACCATGAGGAACCACGGCAACACCATGGGGACACCACAGTCACACCATGGGGACACCACAGTCACACCATGGGGACACCGTGGGGACACCACTGTCACCCCACAGGAACCATGGCAACACCGTGGGGACACCACAGTCACACCATGGGGACACCACAGTCACACCACGGGGACACCGTGGGGACACCCTGGTCACACCATGGGGACACTGCGGGGACACCACGGTCACACCATGAGACACCACAAGAACCACAGAGACACTACAGGAACCATGGGGACACCACAGTCACACCACGGGGACACTTCGGTCACACCACGGGGACACCGTGGGGACACCACTGTCACACCACGGAGACACAAGGACACACCATGGGGACATCACAGGGACACCATGGTCACACCATGGGGACACCACAAGAACCACAGAGACACCACAGGAACCATGGGGACAGTACAGTTTCTCTAGGGGGACACCACACTCACACCGTGGAGACACTACAGTTACACCATGAGGACACCACAGTCACACCATGGAGAAGCCATGGGGACACCACAGTCACACTGTGGCACCCACAGGTCCCCCCTGCCCCACACTGACTAACGCCCCAGGCTTCTGTCCTGCCCATGTCACCATGCTCTGGCCTTGCCTGATAAAATCTCAGGACACTTGGAGCAATCTGGAGTGCCACCAGCTTTCTCCAGGTTTAACAACTTAATTAACCCATAATTACGGCCCAGCTCCCATTTGGAGAAGCAAAGATCCCTCAGTTTAGATAAGAACCATCAGTGTTTAGATAAGAACTCATAACCCTTGGGAACAGCAGGATTGCCTGTGGAGTGGAGCTGCACCTGGGATTCTGTGTGTGGGGCTGCAAGAGCCTTTCTGGTTTAATGATGAGTCGAGCCCCAGTTTTAGGAAAAGCCTTATCCTGGTTTAAAGAGAAGCTTTTCCCTGGTTTAAGGGGGAGCCTTTCCCTGGTTTAAGGGGGAACCTTTCACCAGTTTAAGGAAGAGCCTTGCCCTGGTTTAAGGAAGATCCTTTCCCCAGTTTAAGGGGTAACCTTTCACCAGTTTAAGGAAGAGCCTTGCCTTGGTTTAAGGAGGAACCTTTCCCTGGTTTAAGGAAGATCCTTTCCCCAGTTTAAGGAAGAGCCTTGCCTTGGTTTAAGGAAGAACCTTTCCCCATTTTCAGGGGAGCCCTGCCGTACCCTGTGAGCTCTGGCTGAGCCTTTCCCTGGTTTAAAGAAGAACCTTTCCCCAGTTAATGAGGAGCCTTTGCCCGGTTTCAGAGGAGCCTTTCCCCAGTTTCAGAGGAGCCTTTCCCCGGTTTCAGAGGAGCCCCCCGTACCCTGGGAGCTCTGGCTGAGGCGGGCCGAGGAGCGGGTGACGCGGGCGGATCTCCGGGAGGTGCCGTCGCTCTCGGAGCTGTCCGTGTGCTCGGGGTCCGTGGAGAAATCCGAGTCCTCCGTCCCATCCGAGCTGCTGCCCGCGTTCCTCTGCAACGGCACACACTGCACTCAAGTACTGTACTTACTGCTAAAACCACAAAAAACGAGTGAGTATTTCGCATTCTCCCAGCTGCAAGAGTGATCTGTGTGGTTTATGCCAAGTCAAGGACTCTTTTTTCCCTTTCTTTTTGCGTCTCCTGCTCTGTCAGTGAGGAGTTTCCAAAGCAACATGGGACAGATGATCCCTCACAGCCAAAGGGACATTCCCAGCACAGGGTGCCATTCCCAGGATACAAACTGCAGGAATTATCAGAATTATCCCAAAGCAGGGGCAGCAATCTGGATGTCAGAAGGGGGTCTGGCATCAGTCAGCAATTGCAATATATTCTCCTTTCTCTTTCTTTATCACCTTTATTTAACACTATTACAGCATTTTACATCATTTCTCATAATTAAACAATTCATACTCCAATCTAAAACCTTTAATTTTGTTCCCCCCCTCCCGTTTCCAGGCTGGTGCCTGATTTCCAGGTGCGGTTGAATGCTAACACCGTAAGGGGACACCGGGGGTAGCGGCAGGTGCTGGGGGGCGGCTGCGGGAGCGCGGAGCGGGCAGGCCCGTGGGGGGGCGGCGATGGCGGCGGCCGTGAAGGGAGCGGGGGCGCGGCCGCCATGAGGGGACGGGGGCGGGGGCTGTGCCTCGCGCCGGTGGCGGGAGCGCGGCCCCCGCGCCGCTTTGTTTTGCACCCAGCGGAGCCGCGCGGGCCCCAGCCAATCACAGCGCGTGTGGGCGGGACCGAAGGGGAGGCCTGCCAATGGCAGCTCGAGGCGCAAAAAGGCGGGCCCCACCGAGCGTGATTGACAGCAAGCGGCAGCCAATCAGCGCGAGGCTTGCTCCCACGGCAACGCCAAACGGGGGGGGGCCGCGGCGCGGTGGGGGAAGGGAGAAACAAGGCTAGCGCGGGGAGGTGACCGTTGGGGGCGGAGATGGACAGCAGCAATAGCCAATCAGCGGTCAGACCGGCATGGAGATCCACCCAATAGACGGCCAGCTCTCAGAGCGCGTGTCCAATCGGAAACGGCAAGGGGCGGGCCCGGCTGCCCGCGCGGGGGAGGGGAAACGGTAGCCGTTGAGGGTGATGAGTGACAGGCACAGCGGCCAATCAGCGCGCGGCCTGCTAGTGCTCCAGCCAATCAGAGGGCGCGGGAGGCGAGCGCTGGGGGCTCAAGGCCGCTATTTTTCCCCCAGTTTTGGAGCCGGGAGAAGGCGCGGAGTGGGTGGGGAAGGGTAGAAAGCAGCGGCCCGAGCCCGCCAGTCTCCCCGCCGGCCGCCTCCCCCGTTTCCCCGCCGTGCTCACCTTCCTGCGCTGCATCCTAGGCGGGGGCAGCGAGGTTGCCTGGTCCCCGGCGCCCGCGGCCCGCGAAGCGGCGGTGGCCGCCGCGGTGTTGCTGCTGGCGGACTCCGTGGTGACAGCCGTGTCTCCCGCCTTGCGGCACGTCTGCTCCTGCGGCGCCAGCCCCGCTCCCGCCGCCGCCAGCCGCTGATCCCTGCTCGGTCCCTCACGCTTCCGCCGGGACGCGGCCCACACCCCCGTCACGTGACCGCGCGCCATCTTGGAGCCGGGCAGGCGCCGCCGACACTGAAGCCGCGCGCCGCCATCTTTGTTTGGGTTAGCGGGCGCCATCTTTGATGAGGGCACGAGGCCGGCGGGGCGCGGCGCGTCCGTTACCGAGGCCGCCGTGTTGAGTGTGGGCAGCGCCGAACTGAGGCGGAGGAGCTCCCAGAGCTCCCTCGTGGCGTGAAGCCTCGAGAATTGCAGCACTGGCAGCTCCTCCGTGGATTCTGCCGGAAGTGGTGCCCTGGAGGTGGGATGTGTGGCCCGGGGATTGTGAATTGTGTTGGAATTCCCGTAAGGATGAGAGGAACTGTGAAGGACAAAGTGCCATGGCGGGGGTTCGTCCCTCCCTCGCCAAAGTGCTTTCGTGACTCGCTGCTCCCCGGCCCCGCCGAGCCCGGGAACCTCTCAGAGGCGCGGCTCGGAGCAGCGGGGCCTTGGGAAGGGTAGAACCGATCCCGGCCGCAAGCCGGCACCTCCGCCCCGCCGAGTTCGAACCGGGTCAGGGCCGGCGGAAGGACCCCAGAAGGCCCCGCTCGGTGTCGCACAAAGTAGGCGGAGCCTCTCTCCGAGATCACCAATCAGAGCCTGTTTCTGTACCCCGCCCCCTCAGCACAGCCAATCGCCGCTCTCCACATCGGGTGGCGCGCCTGCGCGCGCCATGCACCGCGAAGACCCCTAAGGCTGGGCTGCCCTCGGTACTGCCTGAGCCGCCCCGCACACCGCCGGTCCCATCGCGGCCGAACCGCGGCGGGCGCAGCCCCGGAGAGGGTTCGAAGATCTCGGTGTGCAGCTCCCGCCCGGTTCTGCGCTGTTCCCAGCGCGCCCCGCCCGCCTTTCCCCCCGCGGCGGGTCCGGCAGCGCGCGGGGCGGCCCGGGGCGGAGCGGGCGCGGCGGGGCCGATGAGGCCGCCCGGGGCGCCGCGGGATGTGGTGCTGGAGGTGCCGCCCGCGCTGAGCGGCCCCGCCGCCACCATGGGAGCGAGCGCGGCCGCGGGGCTGCCCGAGCGCCTCCGCCTGCCCGTCTGCTTCCTCGGCGTGTTCGCCTGCTACTTCTACTACGGCATCCTGCAGGAGAGCATGTGAGCCACACCGGGACACCGCGGCGGAGCGGGGCCGGGGGACACGGGGCGGGGAGGGAGGCACGGGACGGGGGTTTGGGGCTGCGGGGACACGGGGCGGGAGGGGCTGCGGAGTAACGGGGCTGCGGGGACACGGGACGGGGACACCGGCGAGGGCGCGCCGCTCCTTCCCGTGCCGTGGGTTCTCTCCCCTGTGTCACCGGTACCGGTCCCACTCTGTCACCGGTGTCCCGCTGTGCCCCGATGTCACTGGTGTCCTGCTCTATCCCGGTGTCACCGGTGCCGGTCCCGGTGTCACCGGTGTCCCGCTGTCCGTCCCGCAGCACCCGGGGCCGCTACGGGGAGGGCGCGAAGCAGGAGAAGTTCAAGTACGCGCTGACCCTGGTGTTCATCCAGTGCGTGATCAACGCCGCCTTCGCCAAGCTCCGTAAGTGCGGCACCCCCGGGAGCCCCGGGCCGGTTGTGGCGGGGCCGGGGCCGCTCCTGAGCCGTCCCTGTCCCCGCAGTGATCCGTTTCGTGGATGCAGCACGGCCGGACCGCACGCGGGGCTGGCTGTACGGGGCCTGCTCGCTGTCCTACCTGGGCGCCATGGTGTCCAGCAACTCCGCCCTGCAGTTCGTCAGCTACCCCACACAGGTACGGGACAGGGGACATGGGGACAGGGCTGGGACACAGCTACCCCACACAGGTACGGGACAGGGGGACACGGGGACACGGGGACAGGGCTGGGACACAGCTACCCCACACAGGTACGGGACAGGGGACAGGGCTGGGACACAGCTGCCCCACACAGGTACGGGACAGGGGACATGGGGACAGGGCTGGGATACAGGTACCCCACACAGGTATGGGACAGGGGGACACAGGGACATGGGGACAGGGCTGGGACACAGGTACCCTACACAGGTACGGGACACAGGGACATGGGGACAGGGCTGGGACACAGGTGCCCCACACAGGTACGGGACAGGGGACATGGGGACAGGGCTGGGATACAGGTACGGGACACGGGGACATGGGGACAGGGCTGGGACACAGGTACCCCACACAGGTACGGGACACAGGGACATGGGGACAGGGCTGGGACACAGCTACCCCACACAGGTATGGGACAGGGGACATGGGGACATGGGGACAGGGCTGGGACACAGCTACTCCACACAGGTACGGGACAGGGGACATGGGGACAGGGCTGGGACACAGCTGCCCCACACAGGTACGGGACAGGGGACATGGGGACAGGGCTGGGACACAGGTGCCCCACACAGGTATGGGGCATGGGGACACAGGGACACAGCTACCCCACCCAGGTGAGCACGGGGACAGAGGTGACATGGGGACACAGCTACCCCACACCAAGGAGACCCTGGCTGTGACCCTGACCCTGGCTGTGACCCTGACCCTGGCTGTGACCCTGACCCTGCCATTTTCCTGGTGTCACTTTTGTGTCCCGGTCCCTGCTGGGGGTGCAGGGAGGGCTCTGAGAAGGGACAGAACTGCCCAGAAATGGTGGCAGTGTCACCTGCCAGGGGACTGGGGTCACTCCCTCTGGGGCAAGGGCTGAGCTCTCCTTGCTGAGGCTCAGCTGCCCCAGGGGTCTCACTTTGGGGTCTCACTTTGGGGTGTGGATCATTAATGCCCCTTTTCCTTTCCCAGGTCCTGGGCAAATCCTGCAAACCCATCCCAGGTAAGAGAATTGCCCATTTTGGGGGGGGTTTGTGATTTCTGGGCCTCCCTGGCAGAGCCAGCTGGGGCTGGGCTGGGATTCCAGGGAGGGCTTTGGGATCAGTTGGTGACACTCTGTCTCCCCAGCCATGATTTGGGAATGACTTTGTAGGGGTTTAATTTCTCTGATTAGATTTTGGGGCAGTTTCTGACCTCTCTTTTGCCAGTGATGCTGCTGGGGTGATTTTTAGGGGGTTTAATTTCTTTGGGTGGATTTAGGGCAGTTTTTGATGTCCCTTTTCCTAGTGATGCTGCTGGGGGTGACTTATTAAGGATTTAATTCCTCTGAGTGGATTTTGGGGTGGTTTCTGACCTCTATTTTCCTAGTGATGCTGCAGAGGGTGACTTATTAAGGGCTTAATTCCTTTGGGTGGATTTAGGGGAGTTTCTGACCTCACTTTTCCCAGTGTTGCTCCTGGGGGTGATTTTTAGGGGATTTAATTCCTCTGAGTGGATTTGGGGCAGTTTCTGACCTCTCTTTTGCCAGTGTTGCTCCTGGGGGTGATTTTTTGGGTGTTTAATTCCTTTGGGTGGATTTAGGCCAGTTTTTGACGTCCCTTTTTCCAGTGATGCTGCTGGGGGTGATTTTTTTAAGGATTTAATTCCTCTGAGTGAATTTAGGGCAGTTTCTGACCCCTCTTTTCCCAGTGTTGCTCCTGGGGGTGATTTTTTAAGGATTTAATTCCTCTGAGTGGATTTTAGGGCAGTTTCTGACCTCTCTTTTCCAAGTGATGCTCCTGGGGGTGATTTTTTTGGGGGATTTAATTCCTCTGAGTGGATTTAGGGGCAGTTTTTGATGTCCCTTTTCCCAGTGATGCTTCTGGGGGTGATTTTTAGGGGGTTTAATTCCTCTGAGTGTATTTAGGGCAGTTTCTGACCTCTGTTTTCCCAGTGATGCTGCTGGGGGTGACGGTGCTGCGGAAGAGGTACCCCCCAGCCAAGTACCTGTGCGTGCTGCTCATCGTGGCAGGGGTGGCCCTGTTCCTCTACAAGCCCAAAAAAGGGACAGGGGACACCGAGCACGTCTTTGGCTACGGGGAGCTGCTCCTGGTGAGTGCAGGGACCCCACAGGGCTGGGACTTGTGGGGTGGCACCTGGGAGGAGCCCTGGGGCCTCAGGTGGGGTTTATTCCTGCAAGAAATCCTGGGATTCTGGTGGGATTTACTCCTCATCTGGGATAAATTGCAGGGTTTCAGGGGGGATTTACACCTGGGATACACCCGAGGTTCTTGGGTGGGATTTACTCCTGGGATAAACCCTCAGGTGGGATTTACCCTCACCTGGGATAAAGCCTGGGCTCTCAGGTGGGATTTGCCCCTCACCTGGGATAAATTCCAGGGGTTCAGGTGGGATTTGCACCTGGGATAAACCCTGGCCTCTCAGGTGGGATTTACCCTGGGATAAACCCAAGCTCCCAGGTGGGATTTACCCTGGGATAAAGCCTGGGCTCATAGGTGGGATTTACCCCCACCTGGGATAAATTCCAGGGTTTCAGGTGGGATTTACCCCAGGATAAACCCAAACTCCCAGGTGGGATTTACCCCAGGATAAACCCAAATTCCCGTGTGGGATTTTCCCCAGGATTTACCCCAGGATAAACCCAAACTCCCAGGTGGGATTTACCCCAGGATAAACCCAAACTCCCATGTGGGATTTGCCCCAGGATTTACCCCAGGCTCCCAGGTGGGATTTACCCCAGGATAAACCCAAACTCCCATGTGGGATTTTCCCCAGGATTTACCCCAGGCTCCCATGTGGGATTTGCCCCAGGATTTACCCTGGGGTACACCCTGGCCTCCCAGGTGGGATTTACCCCAGGATACACCCAAACTCCCATGTGGGATTTTCCCCAGGATTTATCCCAGGATAAACCCAAACTCCCATGTGGGATTTTCCCCAGGATTTACCCCAGGATAAACCCAAACTCCCATGTGGGATTTACCCCAGGATACACCCTGGCCTCCCAGGTGTGCCTTGGGGCTGCAGCAGCCCAGGTGTGCTGAGAGGAGCCTCCTGTGCCCTGCACCCTCCAGCCCCCCTGCCAATCCCTGTTGGTAACTGCTGTGCAAGGGGAATTGCCATTTGCCCTGGGGACAAGGACCAGGGCCTGATGGTGTCCCCTGTCTGTCTGTCCTTCCCCTCTCTGTGCCCTGTCTGTCTGTGGGTGCCCAGCTGCTGTCGCTGACCCTGGACGGGCTCACGGGGGTGTCCCAGGACCACATGAGGGCTCACTACCAGACAGGCTCCAACCACATGATGCTCAACGTCAACCTCTGGTCCACGCTGTTCCTGGGGGCAGGTGAGGAACCAGGGCTGGACCTGGGCCCTGCCTGGCCTGGAGCCCTCTGGGGCTTGGTTTTGTTGGGGATTTTTGGGGTTTTGCTCGTGGCCCAGCCCTGTCCCTCGCTGGGCTCTCCTGCAGCTCCTGCTCCAGCTTGGGAGCACAAAGTGGAGCCCAGGAGGGCTGGGAGCTGCCCCTGGCACTGGAGCAGCTTTAAGGTCCCTTCCAGCCCAAGCCATTCCAGGATTAGCACTCCTGATTAATTGCTGGGGATTGTTCTGTTGGAATTTGATCCCAGTTAATGATCTCCCTTTCACTAATTAACCAGGAGGGCGATTGCTTCTGCTGCTGGTGTTTCCTGCTGGAGTTTGTGGGGTTCACTGCCTGCTTTGGGGGTTCTGAGCCCTGCCTGACCCCACGAGGGTGGGATCCCCATCCAGGCTGCTCCTCCTGGCTGTTTTCCAGGGATCCTGTTCACGGGGGAGCTCTGGGAGTTCCTGAGTTTCATGGAGCGTTATCCCAGCATCATCTCCAACATCCTCCTCTTCGGCCTCACCAGCGCCCTGGGCCAGGTCAGGGCTCAGGGATCAGGGATTTTGGGTGGGCTTTGCTTCCCTGGCAGGGGCTGGGATGGAATTCCCAGGGAAGCTGTGGCTGCCTCATCCCAGGCCATGCTGGACACCCTGGGTTAGGGGAAGGCATCTCTGGATGAGCTCCAAGGCCCCTCCAGCCCATCCCAGGATGCCACAAACCCCCTTCAACCCAGGATTTGGAGGGAGATCCTTTGGGATTTGCCCCTGGCTGCCTGTCCTGGCAGTGCCAGTGACGGGGGCTCTGTTCTGGCGGGGCAGAGTTTCATCTTCATGACCGTGGTGTACTTCGGGCCCCTGACCTGCTCCATCATCACCACCACCCGCAAGTTCTTCACCATCCTGGCCTCCGTGGTGCTCTTTGCCAACCCCATCAGCCCCATGCAGTGGGTGGGCACCATCCTGGTGTTCCTGGGTGAGTATGGGGGCCAAAATCCATGGGATCCCTGCCCTGGGAGCTCCCCAAACCCACGGGAGCCTCTGCAGGGAGTGTGGGGCCTGCAGTGCGATTCGGTCCCTTCTCCCCAGCTCATTCCGTGGGTAAATTTGGGGATGTTCAGCTGATTTTTTTTCCCCAAATTCTCATCTCCCTGCTGGTTTGAAGAACTCAAACCTGGTGTTTTGTTTCCTGCCAGGCCTTGGGCTCGATGCCAAATTCGGGAAGGGGGTGAAGAAAACGTCGCATTGAGGTCGATCGGGCGATCCCGCAGTTGGAATGAACTTTTAATTTATTGTCTTGTACCTCAGAATCTGGTGTGGAACTGGACTCAGGACAGGGAATCAGAAGGAAACCGTGTGGAATTTATTTTTGCGTTGAGTTTGGTTTGGTTTTTTAATTTCAAATGGTCTCTAAAATGTAATCCTTTAGTTTGAGGTGTAATTTTGCTTTTTTTTGTGTAATCAGAGCTGCCCCCTGAGCCGAGCAGCAGCAGCAGATCCTTGCCTTAACAGGAAAACACAAATCCTTCCTATCTTTATTAAAGAAAACCAGACTATGGCTGCTCCTCCAGGACTTTTGTTGGGGATTTGGCTGATTTGGGAGGGACCCAGCTTTGCTCTCCAGGGTGGGAGAGGAACGATCCCAGTCCTTTGGGGTGATTCTGGGATTAAAGAATTTCAATTGGAGGCAGCCCCTTCCTGCTGTGGGGTTTTCCAGAGGGTCAGAGCAGCCCCTTGGATTTTCTTCTACTGGGATGTGTCAGCAGGGAAATCCTGAACGTGCCTCAGGAAATGAGAATTCCCCAAATTCGGGGCAGCTCCTCTCCCATCCCCTGGGATGCCCAAGCAGGAATTCCCAGAGCAGCTCCTGGAGAGCCTTTGGGATGTTCCTGCCTGGATCCAGCTGTCCCTTGGAATAAATCCCAAAGGAACAGGGTGGGATTCAAGGAATTTCCATCTTCTGCTGCTTCTTCTTCTTCTTCTCCAAGGAACTTTGGGAGAGGGACGAGTCTGTTCTGTGGGATTTGGGCTCTGCTCCTTTTGCTCCTTTTTCCTATCCCAAGGCAGGGCTTGGATTGGGGGGAAACATCAGGAACCTCCTCCTGTTCCCAGGGAAGGGCCAGGGATGCACCAAGTGCTGCCAGAGCATCCAGGGAAGGGCAAAAGGGATTTTAATTCCTGCTGCCAAGGCCTGTTGGGTTTATTCCCTGCAGGAAGTGACCAAGGGAGCCCCATCCAGCCCTGGGATCCCGGGAGCTGTCCCAGGGTGGGACTGGGTGGGATTTAAGGTCCCTTCCAGCCCCAACCATTCTGTGGTTCCCAGTGTAAGTGCACCCAAGGGGCAAATCCCAGTGTCCAGGCTCCCCACAGCTCTCTGGGCTTCACCTGCCCTGGCTCAACCCCACCTTGGAGCAGACCTTCTCCAGCTCGTGGGATGCAAATCCAGGGAAATGAAAGATTTGGGGGTTTTTCAGCCCTGGGAGCTCCCTCTGCCTGTGCAGCTGTGGGATCAGGACCTCTTTCCCAGCAGGAATTCTGGGGCAGGAGAGAGGCTCTGGAATGTTCCGGGCAGGCCTGGCTGGGCAGGGCATTCCCGCAGGGAATTCCGGGGGTTGCTCCCCACGGGCAGGAGTGGAATTTTCTGGGTGCCTCGGGTGGGTACAGATGGCTCAGGCCGGGATGAGCAGCTCTGAACCCATCCCAGTTTTCCTCCTTCCCGGCTTTTGTTGGCTTCAGATCCCGATTTCAGCCACTCCGGCCGCAGTTACCGGCAGGGGGAACTCTGCTTTAACCATTCCCAGCCAACACCGGGAGAAAGCCAACAAAAAACCCAGCAAAAAGCGGCTCCTGTGCCACCCCTGCTTGAGCCGTGCTGCTGGAGCCAAACCCAGCTGCAAATCCTGCTTTTCTCCAGGTTTATCCCCGTTTTTATTGTGTTTAATCCAGCAGAGCCCCCTGGAGCCGGGCTGGGAGCTGAAATCCTGCCCTGCTCCTCCTGGCCTGGGGAGCATCCCCGCTGGGATTGTGCTTGGGGATCATTCCTGCTGGGATTCTGCTTTGGGATCATTCCCACAGGGATTGTGCTTTGGGATCATTCCTGCTGGGATTCTGTGGGATTCTGCTGGGGGATCATTCCCGCTTGGATTCTGCTTTGGGATCATTCCCACTGGGATTCTGCTTGGGGTCCATTCCTGCTGGGATTCTGCTGGGGGATCATTCCCGCTGGGATTCTGCCCCTGGAATTCTGCCTGGGGCCCATTCCCACTGGGATTCTGCTTTGGGATCATTCCCATTGGGATTCTGCTTTGGGAACAGGGATTCTTCTTGGGGCCCATTCCCTCTGGGATTCTGCTTAGGGCCCATTCCCACTGGAATTCTGCTTTGGGATCATTTCCATTGGGATTCTGCTTGGGGATCATTCCCACTGGGATTCTTCCTGGGGATCATTCCTGCTGGAATTCTGCTTTGGGATCATTCCCATTGGGATTCTGCTTTGGGATCATTCCCACTGGGATTCTGCCTGGGCCCCATTCCTGCTGGGATTCTCATGGGGAGCTCTGTCCCTGGAGAGCGATCGGAGCCGGGCTGGGAAGGCGAGGGTGGGATTGAGGAGCTGAGCCCGGCTCCCACAGGGGGAATTTGGCAGCTCCGCTCCCTCTCCTTTCATCCCTGCTGCTCCTCCTGCAGCTCCAGCAGCTCCAGCAGCAGATGGCTCAGGAAAAAAAAAAAAACAAAAAAAAAACAAAAAAAAAAGCCAAATGTTTGGAGAGGGGACTGAAATTTTGGATGTTTAATAGGGATGGAGATAATCCTGTAAGTGATGATTTTCTGGTCACAGGAGAGTAAAGGTGGACAAGGAATTGTTGTTATTCCCTCTGGATCTTGGTGTTCCTTTGAAACACCTCAAGGATGCTTTGGGGACAGCAAGGAAAGGTTTCCAGGCTGGTGAATGATTTGATGATTTAATGATTTGCTTCCCTGCAGGTTTGGTTTAATTGTCCCCACATTGAATGAAATATTGGGATTTTCCCTTCATGAACTCCCAGTCTGGAGCCCCCAGGAGGGACCTGGAGGCAGCCCTGGGGCAGGAGCAGAGGCCTCTCCCCGTGGGCAGCAGAAAACTCTGCTCGGAATATCCCAAACGCTGAATATTCCAAGGCAATATAAACCCCTCGCTGGTTAATTTTGTTTTGTGGTGAGCGTGGCTGGGAAAACAAAATCCTGGAATGGTTTGGGCTGGGAGGGAGCTGGGCTGGAGGCTGTGCTCCCTGAGGACGAGCTCCTGTTTGAGGGGGAAAACTGCCTGGGGATGAATTTGGGGGATCTGGGGACAATGCTCAGGCCCCCCCTCCCTGCAGGTGCCGAGGTTTGGGGAGGGGGAAGCAATCCCACAGCAGGATCAGGTTTTAATGAGTGTGGGATCAAAAGCAGCCTGGAAAACAAGAGCAGCCTCATCAGGAGCCGCTGCTAACGAGCACCAAAGCCTGCGCAGGGCTGGGGGAGCTGCTCGCTCACCGTTGTCAATTTGAGGGCTGAGTTCCTCCTCTCCTCCAAAATCAGCTTTGATGCCTCTCGAATCCAGGTAAAAATAGCAAGCCAGCAGCTTCCCTGCGAGTGAAACCTCCAGGGCAGGGTTTGTTTTAAGTGGTGTTTGTTTTCTCCCAAACAAAAGTGGCTTTTAATCATGGCAGCGAGGACTGAGGGAAGGTTTCTGGTGGCGTTTGGGAAGGAAATCTGGGTGGGAAACGTTCAGAGCAGGGAACTGGGGATGGTTGGAGAGGGAACTGGCCCTGCAGAGCAGCAGGAATTCCCTCGTGGAAGGGCTGGTCCCTGTGGGTTTGCCATGAATTTAGGGCTGCGCTGGACTGTCCTGGTTTGGGGTTTGTGTGCTTCCATCACACAGTTCCAGAGTGGGTTTGGGATGGGAGGAGCTCAAAGCTCATCCAGTTCCATCCAGGGCCACCTCCCACTGTCCGAGTGTGTCCAGCCTGGCCTGGGACACTCCCAGGGATCCAGGGGCAGCCACAGCTGCTCTGGGAATTCCATCCCAGCCCCTCCCAGGGAAGGAAAATCCACCTGAAGGAAAATCCTGCACCCCTCTGGATTGAACCTGGAAGGAGCCAATTCTACACATAGATAAAAGCCATCAATATTTGATGTATTTCTGTAAGAGACACCGATATTTTATTTACACACGAAAATAACTGCTTAGCCTCTCTCCACCCGAGGAGCTGTGCAAGGTGGGGATATTTCCCTTCCCCTCCTGCCCCGTTGATCCACAGGGAAGGGAACCTGGCACTGCTGGGCTCAGGTTTTGCTGTTCCACTGTGGATCCCACCCGGAGGAGAATGACTGCAGCAAATACAAATTTAAAAAAATACAAAAAACCCCAGGCTCTCCATCCCCCTTCCCGGGAGGATGCTCAGCCCTCCACGGTTCAGGGATTGCAGGATCCAGCAACTCCGCCCGTCCCCGGCCCCCGAGCGTCCCTTGGGGCACACCGAGGTGACAGAGCCGGGGCTGCTGTGACAGGAGAAACCTCCAGAGGGGCTGGGGCGAGCAGATCTGCGAGGGATGGAAACACCCGGCACCAGCGGGAGAGAACGGATTCCTAATTGGCTGTTACCGAAAAAAAAATGACCATTTCACAAGGAAACCATCGCAGCCTGCGGCACGCACGTTGTTTAATGATTTAAACCGCGCACAAAGCAAGCACGTCCCCAGAGCTGGCCGAGGTTCCGTGGCAATCTGTGGCACGGCGTTCCTGGTGCTCTCCAGATGGGAAATGGGCGCCACAGGTGCCCCTGGCACGGGCAGAGGGGAGCAGCACCTCGCACTGGCTCCGTGAGTGCTGCACAAATTAAAGCCTCATTAAGTCTCCCCCGTGATTGAGCCGGGCTTTGTTTGCAGCGGGTTTGTTTGGGTTCGTAAGAGAGCTGGCAAATCCAGGAAATAATGAAATAACTGCGTTTTCATCCTCTCCTGATAGGGGAGTTTAATTAGTGCTGCATTCTCAACAGCTCTGATCCCGCCGTGCCGCAGATCCTTCCTGGATAAGGGGATAATGATTGGAATCCTGTCCTGCAGCCCGCGCTGGAGGCTGGGCTGCTCCGTTTCATCACTGGCAGCTCTCTGCAGCTCAGCCTCTCCCTAATTACATTTCTGGAGTTTTAGTAAATTGAAAGGGAAAACGCAGGAACAAAATAATTAAACCCGAAGAGGAAGTGAATATTAAAAAGCAGCAGCTAGTTAAAATTCTTGCACACAGCTCCTGTCAGAGCCGTCGGTTTAATCAGCTTCCCGTGGAAATCAAAGGGAGAGGGTGACACCTCCAGACCCGGGGGTACTGCAGCATTTGGTGTCCCTTGTCACAGGGAAATGCCACCTGCCTGCTGCCATCCAGGTGGGAAGTGTCCCTAGAGCCGGGAATTCAGAGCTCTCGCTTCACACACACCAAAATCCCCATCCCAACAGCCAAGGTTTAAGCGCCTGGAATTGTTTATTTATCACAGAATCACGTCCCAGGCACGAAGAAGTGACAATAATTCTCTTCTCCCA